TGTGGTTTCCTTGGATCACTTAGGCAAATGCTGAGGCAGTAATATTCCACAGATAATCTTTCATTCTCTTCTGTCTTCATTTCGTCCGTCTCATCTTTCTCACCGGAACCACCACCCACCCATTCCCACGGTTCCTGAAAGTAGGCTGAAGAGGGCCTTCCGCCCTACCTTCCGGCGTAGTCCGGAGGGACTGCCCGCCCACCAGCATTAGTGGCTGGTGGGAATGAAACACCCAAAAGTTTTTTTTTTTGTTGCTTGTAACACAAAAATGATACCCATGAAGCATGCACCCCTATGAAATGATTTATGGAGTTTACTTCTTCAAATGGCGGACCCGTTATAGAAAACATTGACTCCTTGCCATCAACTATGTACGGGAACAGTAGTTGAGTAGGTAGAGCTAACGAAAACTCAACAATACGAAGTTAGCAGCGTGACTGCAAGTTAGTGAGCACGTAGCTAGTTCGAGGGTGGGAACAGAACTGGTGACTACGGTGTTTATGTTTATGTTGCTGCTGCACGTTTTTGGGGCGAATTCAAATTCCGGTTAATTGATGTAAGACTTCACGCTGATGTTATAGAAATACTTGGTCGAAAACATTGTTTAAATAAGTAGATCATTGTTATTGAGTGCACACCAGCTAAATAAAATGTAAATAGAAGCATAACTTTCAACGCTTGTACACCCATCATTTTTTTCTCTTTTATACTTCTTCAACATGAACACGTGTAAAAATCAATTATTCAAAAGTTGTTTCAAAACTCGAAGATATTATTTGTTGGAATGTATATGCTAAGAATAAAGTGAAGAATCGTTCACAATATGAAATTAAATATCTTCGCGATGACACTAATATTAAAAAATATAAACAGCAACATTTCTAATCTTCTAAAGGGCCTTGAAGATAGAGTTCCTATAGACAAAATTATCCTTGGGACACATTAAACTTTGAAATGGCGAAAAAAAAAAATACTAAGGCTAATTTAAAAAAAAAATGAAAGTGGAATTAATACAGCAGTAAGTATTACCATTCATTTCTAGCACTAAATCTTTCAAAAAAATTTTATGAAAATTACGGTAGATACCCAAATTAAATATAATTAGCTGAAGAATCTAGATGTTACAATTTTAACGATTCACATAACATAAATACCGTTCTTATCAATAGGTCAGATTCAAACCGCTAAAGAAAAACACGAGCTTATCTACGTTCTAAAATATTGTACTAAAAACTGAAACCAACCCTACACGTTATACATAAAAGGAAAAGACAAGAGTCGATATTCCGTTAGAATAATTAGGTACAATTCGTGTAAAGAAACGGTATAGGAGAAATACCTTAAAATTTACCGGGTATATTTGTCAGATAGCTTTAAAGTTGGGTTCAAACCATATATTGACGCGTTTAAATATTCATAAACTTAATATTCAGAATAGATATTTATATGTCATCTGACTGCGGAAATATCTCTTGATACTTAAAAAACGACGACATTAAAAGCAATCGAATAAAATCTAAATAAACAGTGAATATTTTTAAAAAGGCAAGACATACCCAGAATCCTGGTGGATAGGTTGGAAAGGGGGCGATCTCCCTGGTTGCCACATTGCTGGGCAGTTCCGATCGTCCTTTTTTAAATTTTTTTCTTCGAAGACGCTGCTTCTCTCTGATTAGTAGCGCCGCCTGCATACTCGCCGACACTGCGGTGCTCATGCAGTTTTTACTTAAACGGTACTATTGTTCATCTCTTCTCCGTTTGCACAGGTCGAAACAAAACCAAAATTGACAACAAAAGATTGAAGAAAGCGAAAGTAAGTATCAGGAATAGCAAACCATACTTTGCATTGTATTTATGTGACATTTAGCCATGTTTGGAGTAACAAATAACAAAAGTGTAGTGGTATTTCCTTTTTTGTCCCAGAAAACATTACTTAATGAACACCAAACACACTTGAAATCTTTCAACTGTTTCTACCGAATCCACGAAGAGTAACACAATATGCGTTGAGGAGCAGTAAAGACGGTGCACAAAATTCTTGAACGGTCCCATTTTCGAATATTCAATTAGGATTGCCGACATTAACTTCTTCGTATTAGTTTTAACTGATATTCTTTTATAAGTTGGTCATTATTTACACGGAATAATTAGTTTTATCTTTGGTGTTAACTTTAAATCAGCTTTAGCTTACCATAGGGATATTAATTAGAGTATCCTTTTTAAAGATTACTTTAATGAAATAATTATCGAATAGAGTTACATACATTCTTGTAAACGTTTCAAATACTGTTGACGAGAAAAACTTAAGGCAGACGGTAAATATCGTTGTATAGTTGCCGACTTTACCTTCTTGGAAGAGAAATTGAAGATCGTGACATTTTTAATGTAACACCAATACGATTTCTTGAGGCTATGGTTTTGTAAAGGGACAGTAACTTAAGTTCTTGAGATTATCAATTTCTAGAGGGAAGGTCACAGTTGGTCCACCTTCGGGTACTTGTCGATGTAGACATTTATAAAAAATATTCGGCAGGATAGCCAGTTAATAAAGAGCTAATTAAGTAAGTGTATACGAATATATATGTATGTGTTGTATATATCGTTAGTATATAGACGATGAAAGCAAGAGATACAAATAGTAGAAAGCACAGTTCAAAAAATAAATGTTATCTTTAGAGTTAAGCATCATAGCTTAATTTTTTGATATGCTTATGTATAACTGCAATGGCCCCCAAATAACTTTGCAATGTTTGGACGCTCTTTTAGTTATTATATTTATTTGACATTTACATGTATTTATAAATTATTTTTAATAAAGCGATGCAGGATTAATTACATATTTCTTTAAATACATTAACCACACGGGTTGTCTTCTATCACTGTTTTAGTATTGTTTTAAGTATATATTTTTATTTGATTACATTGATTCTTGGATTTTATATTGTTCACTTGATCAACCAGGGTCAAAATTATTTTGCATCGTTTGGAAATGTTTTGTCCTTTCTTCTTACACTTTCACTCACATATGTACACTTCATACCAAAATCGTTAAAATAAATAACTCTTCATAGGGCAGATCGTTGCAATACATGATGCGCTTCCATCTGTTTGTATGTTTACAAATTCTGTGACAACCGGCGCAATAATACATAGGCAAGAACAATAATTCAAAATAATATAGTAGTACCACTGATAGAATATAGATCACCATAATTAGACATCATTTTTAATCGCGATAGATAAAACCACTTCTACACGAAGGTCAAGTCTAACTCTGTAAGAGTTTGTATCTACTGATTGAAAATGACCTAACTGTAGGTCGAAGCATGTATGTCATATTCTGATAATGAACTTTGAAATTTACATCAAGTGTTTTTTTATTGTGCTATTATTAAAAATGTTTCATAACCTATGCACTGAAAACTATTAAATTTATTAACTCAATGGAACTAAACTAAATGGAACACTGTAAGTCCACCCTACCATAAACACGTTGAAAAACTTTAAACCCTTTTTGATATCCAAGTTTCCATTCTCAAAACACTAAAAAGCTTAAATCCCAACGCGAAAACACGAAGACGACGGATTGAAGAGAAATGTTGAAAAGTACTTTGGACGTTTAATGAACTATTTTGACGTTGGGGTTCGAGCTTTTTAGTATTATGTAACATCCCCAAAGATTTCCAGTACTCTACGTATGTCATCCTCTATTTACTGACGAGCATAACCAAATAAAAAATATTATGCATATTTATTTATTATAAGCAAAACTTGCTTGTGAATATACAAATATACATATTCTGATAAATATTCAAAAGGTCTTATAGAAATATGTTCCCCAGGTGTTAAATTAGGAGAGATGCATCTTAGAACGCGTTTTTCCATCTTATTCTATTGTAGATGTAATTTAATTTAAAACGTCAGAATAAAAATTTTTAGCATTCAAAAACCTTGAACAATCTCAACAACAGCATTAAAACTCTTTAGAAACTGAAGGATAACGAAAAGGTCCAGTTTTTTAAGTTTTTTAACCGCACCAACTCCTTACCCTGTCTTTCCCATGTTAACATTTTGTAGGGCTAAAAACTTAGCAGGGAATATATTTCAACCAGCTAAATCAGCAATATAACATCAATTAGTGGTGTAGGTCATTATGACACTGTGGAACAGTTGTTACAATAACGTAACATGATCCTTATTTACAGGTTCGAATCATATTTACGGTATAGGGACGAAATCCTTATTTTCAAAAAGACAATCCCCAAAATAGTACACGCGAAATAACAAGGAATGTTGGCTCCTCGCGTCAAATTTTAAAGGAACAGTTGCTGCACCCTTATCATTTGCAGCGGGTACAAGCCTTGCTTGAAACTGATTATTAGCCGCGACTGAATTTTTTCCGTAGTGTTGTTTACAGACAAATTTGTTTCACGAGAAATGGAATTTTGAATGTAGAAAAAGGAGACTGTAGTAAATAATTAATTAAAAATTAAGAAGAAGACTCACCCCTAATTACCACAAAAACTTTTTGAGCGGACACGTGTTTCGCCCACTTCATACGTGGGCATTATCAACGCGAGACTACGACATTGAATTGAATTGAAATTTGACGACGTGGCACACATCTCTAATCAGAACACCTTCAAATGCAAAATATATATAAGTTGTTGGTGAACATTCTATCGAAACCAGAAGGTGTACCTAAATCTCAACCCACGTCTAACTGTCGAAAAACTTATTGTTCTATGTATGTATGCTTATATTACCACATAGTTACCTACGTCATGGAAGTTAGTTAACAAGTTGATTAAATAACCCATGTTAAACATTAATAAACCCACAGGTAGTGGCATATTTTAACAGACTGCGTTCTCTGCATTGTTTAAAGATTCTTATTAATCTCGCTGCTAATCAGCAGCAGCTCAGGTTAGTCAGTTTTCAGTTAGAACTATCGCATATGTGCTGATGAGAACCAACAAGTTGGAGATTTCTGAGTGCTTTAACAGAATTCTGATCAAGAATTTATTGTTAGAGTTTTAAGTACAACATTATTGATGCAATTTCGGGTAATAAATTTCCTTCCTAAAAGTAGCACTGTTTTCTTTATCCGTAAAATACTCAATATACCAATCTAGCAAGGCAATGGAGAGAGGTCCAAAATCATTAAGTATATCACAGAACAGTAATGCGTATCATACCATTATGTGTTTCTTTAACATCCAATGCGAGATAAAAATTTCTAGGAAACAAGTTAAAAACTATTCATGTTCTAGACACTACTGATTTTCAGTAAGTTGATCTTAAACGACCTATCAATGTTCAGTTGTCATGTAGTAAAGGCTTAGGGGCCAATTTTCTACATCAAAAGAAATAACTTTAAGGCGATTGTTGTATTGACCCTGACCGGACTAAGCACCAACACGAACACCTTTAGAAAATGTTAACACAACAGAAAGACGATGAAGACAAGGGAAAAAGAATTCGAACCCTCACTATTTCAACGGTGTGCCAAAGACAACTGTTTCTCCCTCAATAAGATGCGAAGCTCCTGTCACACATCGAGAAAAATAAGACAATCATTACAGAATGTCTTCGATTATTATCGAAATCGAGCTATTTTGCAAGTCATGACCTTTTCTGGACCGATTTCAAGAAAAACTGGCTTACAGATTCCATATTTACCTATTTGATACTGAATTTAAGCGCAACATAAAATTGACAGGCAGGGCTGGAGTCCTGCAACGAGTCAACACGACACAGATGGTGGAGTCCTGATCGCATTTCATTGTATACTCTGTAGCTTTGATATTTTAATTAATTCTTCAGCCGAACAATTATTTGTCATGGTCAAATGCGGCTGCGGTAACGTATGTTGCATTTATTTTGCGCCTATCATCTCCAGAAACTATCTTTGCAATTTTCGGCATTAATAGAACATAGAACATAGCACTATTATCATATTCATCATCATCATCATAAGGTCGTCAGTCCTAAGACTGGTTAGACATGTACCTCTACTCTTTCCTATCCTGAGCTAATCTTCGCATTTCCCTAAAACTAGAACAACCCACTATTTGCGAACTAGACCTTCATATCTGAGAAGGTGTCCTACCAACCTATCTCGCCTATTTTTTATTGACTTCCATAGAGTCCCCTGTTCTCCTATTCTTTCTTATACCTCTTAATTTCTAATCTTTTCTACCCACGTTATCCTCATCATTCGCCTATAACACCATATTTCGACAGCTTCTAACCTTTTCTTTTCCACCGCGCCCACTGTCCATGTTGCGCACCCGTACAACGCCGCGCTCCGAACATACACCTATAACAACCTTTTTCGAATTTCTAAATTAACTGTCCGCGAGCATACTTCTTTTTATTATTATTTATTTCTTAAAGACGACACGACCCTGCGCTATCCTCTGCTTTATATCCCTACTATTCCGTCCTGACTTATCTGACTTCCTAGATATCTAAAATCAACCACTTCTTCTAATTTTTCGTCTCCTATCTTTATCATACGAGCGTGATTGTGTGCGATCGAGCATACGTGTGTGTGAGCGGCTTATCGATTCGCCGACTATCCACGGGCTCTTTTCTTCATGTGCGCCGTATTTGTAAATGTGTGTGTCGTGCCTGCGTTCCGGGAAAGCAATTAAACCGTTCAAAGAAAGCGAGACTTCTCTGGACGGCTNCCGGGAAAGCAATTAAACCGTTCAAAGAAAACGAGACTTCTCTGGACGGCTGGAGAATGTTCTCGAAAGGAAGCAACGGAGTATAAAAAGGAAGAGACTATCGCCGAAGTGGAGTAGAAATAAATTGACTGTTGCAGAAGTGAAAGAGTAGAAATAAATTGACCGTTGCAGAAGTGAAAGAGTAGAAATAAATTGACCGTTGCAGAAGGGAATCAAGAGATAAATTGACAGTGATTGAAGTGAAATAAATAGAACAGTGAATAGTAACAGTAGTGTAAATAAATAGAGTGATTTATCACCTAAGTTAGTAATGATTTGATAGTGTTTTTAAGTTTATTAGTAATTAGTCTAAATAAATAGTTTTTGTCGTTGTCTTAAAAGTTTAATTTCTTAAACCCACGAACATTACAACTGGTGTCAGTGTGGGGTAAAAGACATTACAATGGCAAAGAAGTTGTACGAATTAGAAGTAGCCGAGTTAAGAAGAGAATTGGAAGAACGGGATGAAGCGACAAGCGGTAACAAAACGGAACTTCAGTGGCGGCTCGCGGAGGCGTTGAAAAAGGATGGTCACGATCCTAAAACGTTCCTTTTCGAAGATGAATTGACGCAAATCTTGAAACGTGAATTGGAAGAAGAAGAAGCAAAAGTTTGGAAAATAAATTGGAAGAAAACAGTAAAAGTTTGGAAAATAAATAGGAAAAAAATAGTAGAAGTTTGGAGAATAAATGGGAAGAAAAATTTAATAAGAATATTCAAGAAACAAAGGAGAAGATAAAAGTGCTGGAAGAATTGATCTTTAATGGAAAGACAAAATTAATCGAATCGGATGTTGGTGCATCTAGTACACTCAACGAAGCCAGCCAAAACAGCCAAGGAAGCGGTATAGAGTCAAGAACACGAGTAAAACCAGAATGCCGACGTCTTTGAGACTGACAAGAATGGTAGGGGAAGGACTAATATCGTAAAACACAAGATCAATATCGGAAATGCGCAGCCTATTCGTCAAAGACCTAGACGATTACCCCTGGCCAACAAGGAAGAAGCAGAGCGAATAATCCACGAAATGCAGGAGACCGGCATAATTGAGCAATCCTCAAGTCCATGGACATTACCGGTAGTATTGGTAAAGAAGAAGGGTGGAACAACCCGTTTTTGTGTGGATTACCGCCAGCTCAACAACGGCACTAAGAAAGATAGTTATCCACTACCACGGATTGATGACACCTTGGATATGCTTTCTGGTTCGAAAATGTTTTCCACACTCGACTTGAAGAGCGGATACTGGCAAGTTGCTTTAGATGCTGCGACAAGGAAAAGACCGCATTCTCGATCGGCACGGGCCCTTGGCAGTTTACAGTTATGCCTTTTGGTTTATGCAATGCCCCGGCGACATTCGAAAGGTTGAT